CAGTGTGTTAGATGTGGTAGTGTATTAGATGTGACAGTGTATTAGATGTGACAGTGTGTTGGATGTGACAGTGTGTTAGATGTGACAGTGTGTTAGATGTGACAGTGTGTTGGATGTGACAGTGTGTTAGATGTGACAGTGTGTTAGATGTGACAGTGTGTTAGATGTGACAGTGTGTTGGATGTGACAGTGTGTTAGATGTGACAGTGTGTTGGATGTGACAGTGAAGCCCCGCGGGTATGGGGCCCAAGGCATGACTGACACCTGGAGAAGAATATTGGTATTACGGTATGAATGAATTAAATAATTAGCCTCTTCCTGCATTGTCAGTACTTTCATTCTATAAGTCCAATATTACATGTATTATATAATCTTCATTTTATAGTTAAAATATGTCATTATAAGTCTCTGATAAATAAATGATGGCATTGTGGAGTGCAGTTTTAAATAAATCTTTATCATCATCATTATCATCAGCATCATCATCATTATCATAATAATTATAAATATAATCAACATTATTCTCATCATTATCATTACTATCACTTTTATTATTATTATTATCATTATCAGTGTTTGCCACTTAGATAAATTAGTTGCTGGACCGAAGGTCCAGCCATCTTAAAAAGTAGCTGGACTGAATGTCTGACAGGTGGGAAAACTTCTTGGCCTGTTCTGAGAGTTGTCTGCTCCAGGCAGGCAGTCCAGGATTAATTTCGAACACTGATTATTATAATAATATTATTTACTTTCTGTAGTCTTCCCTGAGGGTCTGGGCTGGCCAGTGTGTTCAGTCTCATCTGATATCGTGTACAGCTCTCACAGAACACCTCCCCACACCTGCAAGGATGAGGAAAGTGAAAGTAAAAGTCTATGAAAGTGAAAGTGAAAGTCTGTGAAAGTGAAAGTGAAAGTCCGTGAAGGTGAAAGTCTGTGAAAGTGAAAGTGGAAGCCTGTGAACATGAAAGTCTGTCAAAAGCAGAAACTGAAAGAAAGTTTAATGACAAAGTGAAGGATCATCCAAGTGCAAATTTTTCCCCATTGAAAAGATCCAGTAAGTTCCATATACCAAACTGATCACAGAAATCTTGGAATTTTTACCTTCTACAATGGTGTTTTCTGCTGATCAAACTGAACCTGTTTCCACAGCCCTCCGTGGCACAGACCTTCCTGGAGTCACTCGGTTTCCAGTGATGCTTTGTGATTGCTAGAAATAAAGACAAGGTCACATTTAATATTATTACGTAAACTCTTTTTTTAATTCTTTAAGACAATATGGTATGGGTTCCATAATGGGGCTATTACATCAACATGTTATTCTTTGACAATGGTGGCTAGGAACAAACTAGAACATTACAGTGCCAGTATAACACTGATACTTAACTTTGTTTGCTTTTAAGAGATGCATGCATTACAGTTCTTACTACCATGGCAACCTGACTTCTCCTCCTCTTTCTGTTCATTTTACCTCTGTGTCTTCCCCAGTCTTTTGCTGTGACTTCTAACCCCCCTCCCCTCCCCCTCCCCTCCCCCTCACACCCCCACCCTGACCTAGTCCCTTTATCATGCGCTGCCACTTCTCCAGTGTTTTGCTATGACTTTTTGTTTTAACCCTATCCACCCACTACCCACCCTGGCCTAGTCTATTACCAGTACACTTACCATACTGTTCTGTGACTTCTCCAGTCTTTTGTTGTTACTTCTATCTCTACCCACTCACCCTCCCACCCTGGTCTCATTACCAGTACACTTACCATACTGTTCTGTGACTTCTCCAGTTTTTTGCTGCAACACCAGCTTTTTAATGTAGCTCTCTACGGAGTCCTCGCCCTGGGTGAGATCTGCAGGTATCCCACTGCCAGCCACTGCCATATCTGAAACAGCCCAAAAATCACACATACTGGATACCTATAGTACCATCACTTGGCAATAATACTGGCCAAGAAGAGCCACTCGCCAATACGGTGGCTGACTCAACGATAAACAAGTCATGCTGATTTGTTAAGTTGTATCGATGATATTAATTACCAAGAAATATATTTTGCTTTTATATAGTAATAGGGCCTATACCAGTACATGCATGTAACACTATTTTGGAGGTAACTGGCCATGTATATACGGTACATGTATAACGCTGTGTTTGGATGTAATGTGCATTATAGTCATACCCTCAACAATCTGGTAAGACTGGTGTGTGTGTGTGTGTGTGTGACAGTGTGTGTGTGTGTGTGTGTTAATGTGTGTGTGTGTGTGTGTGTGTGCTGTGTGTGTGTGTGTGTGTGTGTGTGTGTGTGTGTGTGTGTGTGTGTGTGTGTGTGTGTGTGTGTACATTTGTGTGCATGAAGGGAGAGGTGGGGATGCCTTGATCCATGCCTCTGTTTTTGGCCTTACGTGCTAGGTACTTACAAGTACCCCTGCATAATGCTATGGTACTAGTATAATTACTAATGAACTACAAATAGTAAGGCCTAAAACTGAGACGACCAATTAATAATTTATAACTTCAATATAAGCGCTTCCACAAAGAAAGCAGAAGAACCCTCGCTTTCCGGTAGGTGCTACTAGTATATACATCGCGTCAAAACCGAGCGACACTACACTACAAAATCTGCCCTGCGTCACATGACTACATGTACGTACTGCAATTTGTTTAGTTTCGTTTCCATGTAAAAAGTTTTAATTAATCATGATTTATGCGATCGAATGGCGTGAAACTACCAAACAGTCAAGTTCATGCAGCGCCTCAAATGTACCCATCCTTATATTTAACTTCTGCCATCCTCGCAGAAAAAAGAAGAATACTTATTAACTCACCTACATCGATGTACAGCCAGCCGAGGAATGCCCTGACTACTTTGTTATCATGTTCGAGGTCGATTTCCGCATGTGATGTTTACTCGCGTAAGATGGAAAATACCTTGACATCGATACACTGTCACGTACTGCCTGTTCGGCCATTATAGGTCGGTCTACGTCAGAATCGTTAATGGGTGGGAGTGCAAACGCATAATTTACATGTACATGTAAATGAAAAGTGAGAAAATTTTGGTGATGACCCATTAATTAATTATTAATGGCTAATTATTAGTTGTGTAATTATGTGTTTGCATGTCGGAACGTTAGATTTACTGCAGGGGCGGAACAAGGATTATTTGAAGGAGGGGGGCGGATTTTGGGAATGACAGCCTCCCCTCCCCCACCCCCGCCCGTCGTGGGGTATGGGGCCCGTTGAAGGGTCCCCAATATTTTAGAGGGCGGACGATGCCTTTTGGTACGGTTTAGAACTATGATTTGAAGCTAGTCAAAATTCTACAGTAATTTAATTTCAAGAGGGACCATTGGTGTGGTTTTTTTCAGGAATCGAAGGGGGGGGGGGGGGCAGTACCCCCCTGACACCACCCCTAAATCCGCCGCTGCTACTAGTAGTAACATTATGCAAAATGTCTTTGAGGAATTTCGTAAAATTTCCGGATAAATCGGAAACGGGCTATATATAGGGGCCTATATATGAGTGGTTAATTAATTTAGTACTGTGTTAATTAACTATAATTAATTAGTCAATCGATTAATTAGTTGATTTATCAATGAAGGCCTTATATTGATGAGAATGTAGCTATAGCTTATAATTAAGTTAATTAATAATAAATAACAATAATGATAAATGAGTTCATTAATTATATTTTTATGAAAATTGTTAATTGGCCAATGGTAGGCTACAGTTAAGGTTTTCTGATAATTATTACAGTTAAAATTGAAAATATGTCCAATTTCCGAAATATTTAAGCAAGAGTGCATAAATGCATAGGCCTATACAAGAAAGAAAATTAAAGAATCCCAAAAGGTAGCACAACGTTAGCCTACTCATTCTACAAACTAGTACGTTCATGTAGGCCCTAGCTGTTTCATCTTCTATATGTGGCTTGTTAGTGTTAACCAGTTAAACTGATTGCGTTCAGCGAGAGTCCCAGCGGAGTTATTCGATCTTTGTAAAACGATAGTTTCATTAGGAATTAGCCCACAATGTATACGAAAACTGAAGAAAGAGACACATTTAGACGACAAAACAACTACGCGGTACTGCTCAGGTTTCTGTCACGAAGCCAATTCAAACTCTATCAACTCTTGCAACGCCTCTTTCAGATTCAAGTTATTATAGGGGCAGAGTAAATATTCCGACAGAAAAAAAATTAGATGTCTGTCGACCAACAGGCATCTAATTTTTTTTTCTGTCGGAGAATGGTCAAAAATGGACGATGGAACAACAAAGATAATTTGGAAGACTGTCATAAAATCCCTCTGGAACCACCCGAGAAGTACAAGATTTGAATCGAACCGTTGCTCCTTCACAATAGCGACACCATGTCATTTGTACAACAAAAACGGCCTTTGATGTGACCTGAACACCCGGACCTGTACCACTCGGTTACTAAAATGTGGAAATAATTTTTTTAACCCTTCTTGCCCCCCCCCAGCCCCCACGCCCTCCAGAATGCGTCAATGGTCTACTGTGAACTACCACTTAAATTTACCGGTGCAGTTTCTCATTCTTTTTGCCGAGTCGTGGGTTTTTAGGTAGAGTTCTACGTCATTGTCTGAGAGTCCCTCCTGTGGATTTTTCTTCAAGAGAGTGTCCATAATTGCTTGAACTCCTTTCATCCTCAACATAATAACTTTTCTGTCATTCACGTGTGCTCCAATGTGTAACGTATCCGAGTTTTTTAATATCAGTGAAGTTGGATAAACAAATGGTAAGTTATATTTAGGTGCAGGAGCAAGGCAGTAGATGTCGGCATGAAAACGCACGGGTTCACTGAGGTACACGAGAACGTGACGTCTGGCGCTAAGGACCGCTAGGTAAACGTGGTACACCCTCTGGAAAAGACGGTGAACAAGAGCAATATGGAGGTCGTCCTTATAGTGCAGAAATGGGGTGCTGTTCCTCAAAAGGGATGTTCGCGGTCTTTGCTTTGAAGGGACGGGTTTGGCTGGATTATGGGAGTCGAGGGCTGAAGCAGGAATTGCCTCCGTCCTTTCATTAATTCCTGGGTCGCCTTCAGCCAAATGCTCGACACACGCGGCAGTGAGTAAGTCGCATTTGAGCAAAACGACGGGTGACAGTGAATAAACTAGATAAAATGTCTTCTCTTTGGCTTCGTAGGCACTTTCACTTCGAATTCGAGGAGAAGTCGATAACGTAATTGGCACCCAGTTTTTTTCCCATTTTTGAAAAGTCATATTCTTAACTTGTATTCGCTTCGGTCCCTCGTAGGTATCAATATTGTATAAATATAATCTGGAGAGGCCTCCTTCAACATGCCTTGAATATATTATAACATTGTCGCCACCAACTACAAACATTCTCACATCCTCTGGACCCCCAAACCTTTCATACATTACTGCTGGAATGCCGAGTATATGTCCGGCGTCTACGGTGTCATAGGTGCCATTGACTGCCACTTTCATCAAGAAACTACGTTGGAGCGTTCCTGTCGACTTGTACTTTATCAGATTGATCCGCAAAACAGCATCAAAATATCCCGTTTGTTCGTTACCGCTGGTTCCCGTCGAAAATTTTATCTTATCCGTCACCGCCACCGACATCAGGGAGGCTTTCACGTTGAGTTCATCGTCAAACTTCCTGTTTAATAAACTGTTTGGGAAGCTGTTCAAGTAAGACGTGCTGATGGCGTTTCTTAAAACCCGTGTTCCATTTCCTTCATTGGTTATACCTGCCATGACATAATTATAAACATATTTCTGTTCACAGCTCTCTGCGCTGCACTGTCTTGTTTGTTTCCTTGGAATATAATATTTCTGTGCTCCTTTGGCCAAGAGAAAAAGGATTATAATAACTCCAACTGAAACCCATATCTGTTTATTATTGAATCGTAAACGACGACCCAAACGCTGTAACGAAATCTCCATAGTACTGTGCATCCCTTACAACGTCTTCCCTAACCCCTCAAACGCCACCGATCTAGTTTTTGTGGCAAGCACACGAATTCTAATACAGCTGCAATGTCAAATATTCAATTTCGTCTAGCCACGTTTCATAAATCTTGAACTTATTATGCAGTCTTACAATGCCGTCGGAATATAACCTGCCTTACTCTGCGGGTCCCTGCGTGTCGTTCATGGAAATAACATTGCCATCCGTGTTGGCTTTCTCTTTACAACTCCTTGCTCTTAACAATAGTACCAAGTCCCCGTAGGGTAATTATCACGTCTTGCTTTCTTCTAACAAAAGAACCAACCCGCCCGCTGAGATAAAGATCAAAGCTGAGCATGGTCGCAATTGAGTGATCGTCCAAGCTTTAATGGACCTTCAATACACGGTGGGTTCACTGGACTTTGATCCCTCTACTCTGATACGGGAATTTTAAGTATAAGAACTTACCAACAACGATTTTTAAAGTAACTTTCCCAAAAAGATTGGGTGATGAAAGCAACCATCATGTAGCTATAAAGTTGATTGAATTGACATACTATTTGAATAAATGAATAATGAATAATGAATGAATGAATCTATTACAGTGAATTCCCCTGATGACTACTACACGATGCAGTATTTATATATTTTCGTGTCTTGTCTTACCATGATGATACACTGTGTGGCTATAGCATATACTGTGTGAATAGTGTGTCGACCAAGAGAAGTCCACGATCTGTTTTTATATATTACGCATAATAGTCCCATTAAAGTATAAAATGGTACACATGTGCAATTGCCCTTTGGGTACACGTGCGACAGATTTCGTCACACTCAAGACAATTTTCTTATGAGGCAACTTTTTTACCTTTAATTGAAACTATATGAACTATACTTATTTGTCATAAGAAAATTTCACATAAATATATTATTTTATGTGAAAAAAGGAGGAATGTGCAATGAATCACAGTATTGGGAAATGATTTGTTAATAATACTTTTATATCTTCATATTATTAATATAATCGGTGGATCTTATGATCTTTCTCTTGCGGCATCAATGGTAAAATTCACACATTTGAAATTTAGAAATGTGTAAGTACCTTTAGATAACATTGCATACCTTATAAGTACAAATTGTACTGTTTTTGTTTCAAGCCTGGTAATCTTTTAGAGATAAATTATAAGGATGTCTTGTACGTGTCTGTTCACCATGATTTGAAATTGATGCTTTTTTTCTGATTGACATTTTAATTGAAAAAGTTATACTTAGCACATAAAAACCGCAACAGTACTGAAGAAAATGTTGGATTGAATCTCTTAACGGTTTCATAATTTATCAAGTTATTACTAGTGCTTCATTTGACATCTAATATTCTTTTCAAAAAACCGTTTGTACCTTTATTATATCCTTGCCTTGTTAAACCCCCATATTTCTGATGCATAATTTAAAATACTACTAAATTTCTTATCAAACACTGCACATTTGGTGGACATATTAAAGTTATGATTTTTTAACATGCTACTAAAAGCAAACAATGCCTTTTACCTTGTTCTGCTATATGTTTTTGAGTTTGACAAAACTTGCCGTTAAAGTTACAAAGTAAACCAAGGCATATTACGCGACTGAACTGATTCACCCTTTCTATAGCAACACCGTTATATTTCCATGTTGCATTCGCCCTTAACTAACCCCCATTTGTAAAAAAAAAACACAGAATGGTATTATGACGTAACCATAATGTATATGTGTGAGATAATACACTGTTTTCGAGCGATATATACCATAACACCTCGAGCGTCAGCGAGAAGTGTTCATGGCATATATCGCGAGAGGGTGACAGTGTATTATTTGACATACATACCGAGAAAAAATACAGTCATTTCATCCTAAAACACCCCTAAAACCGATTAAAGTGACCCTATATCACGCACTAGAGATGTTATATGAAATAAACTCGTCCACGTGCGCTGG